TATGCATGGGGGTGGAGTTGCCTGTTATGTTCAAAATCATATTCCAGTGAAAGTTAGGGAGGATATCATGTGTAAGGAAATCTAGGTATTGTGGCTTCAGGTTAACTTGCCCCACATTAAATCAATTTTATTGGGCTGCTGCTATAGGCTACCAAACTCAAACCATAATTATTTAGAGGTTATGGGTAAGAATCTGGATAAAGTGTGTGAATTGAACATGGAAGTTGTTTTTACCGGAGATTTAAATATCGACTGGCTATCCCACAATTGTCCTTTAAAGCAACAATTGATTACCATAACTGATGCATGTTGTTTGAAACAAATGCTGACACAACCAACTAGATTAAATATCAACAACAAGGGTATCAACACTTCATCCTGTATTGATCATATCTTTTTGAGTGAAAATGATTCTTACACCAAGGCAGTATTAGTCCCAGTAGGTTGCAGTGATCATAATGTAGTAGCAATTGCAAGGAAAGGTAAGGTACCCAAGGCTAAACCAAAAATTGTGTACAAAAGATCCTACAGGGGGTTCTCTCAGGAAGCCTTCCTGGAGGATGTTAGCAACATATGTTGGTCATATATTTATGATGAAAAGGAATCTTCAACCAGTTATGGCCAAGCATGCACCTGTTAGAAAACTGGCTGTGAAAACTTATAGAGCACCATGGGTTGACAAAGAGTTAAAAGAGCATATGTCTCTGAGGGATGAGGCAAAGGAAAGGGAACAAAAACATGGTAATATAAATGATAGACAGAAATACTGTAAACTGAGGAATTATGTTACAAACCTCATCCAAAAGAAAAAGAAACAATATTATGCTTCACAGTTAAACAGAACGAGGAATGACAGTAAAAAGCTTTGGAGCACACTGAATAATATAATGAGTCGAAAGTCATCTTCACAACCAACCTATATTGACTGTGGAGGCACCTTTATTACTAAACCCAAAGAAACTGAAAATTATTTGAATGATTATTTTAGAAGTAAGGTATATAAATTAAGGAAGGAATTATCACATGGTACAGACAACAGTTTATCAGTTTCTAACATAAAAAATATATGAGAGATAAAACATGCCATTTTGAATTCAGTGAATTAAAAACAGAAACAGTTGAAAAAATTAATTAAGTTAACATGCAATGACAAACAACCAGGAATTGATAATATAGATGATAAACTAATTAGGATAGCTGTTAATTATATAGCAAACCCTACATGTCACATAATGAATACCAGTCTGATACAATCTATCCTTCCACAGGCTTGGAAAGAAGCAAAAGTCATTACTTTGCCTAAAGCTAAGAAAACATCCTTCAATGGCCCGAACAGCCGTCCCATAAGCTTGTTACCAGCAATAAGTAAGATCTTTGAGAGAGCAATTTTTGACCAAATACAAAAATATTTTTCAGTAAATAATTTGATAACAAACTTCCAGCATGGTTATAGAAAAGGACATTCTACATGCACAGCTCTAGTTCAAATGGTGGTGAGGCGATGCAGAAAATATCTTACATCAGAATTAACTAAAATGGTAATAAACAATATTGTCCTCTCACAGCTTGACTACTTCCAAATTGTATGGGCAAATGCCACTAAAAAAGATCTAAGCAAACTCCAGCTGGTTCAGAACAAGGCGGCACGCTGGGAAAATCAGACATCTGATTTTCATGTCTTGTTACTGTACACTAGAAGGTTTCGTGTATATTTTTTGCTTGAGGATGATGATATATATGTACTGTAAAGTTTAACGTAGGTTTGTTGTTTTGTTTTGTTTTTGTCTTCTTTATGTCTTGTTTTTAAATTGTATGTTTTAAATGTATTGTTTAATGTGGACCCCAGGAAGACTAGCTCTGCTTTAGGGCACAGCTAATGGGGATCCTTATAAATAAAAACAACACCAAAAAAACTAAACAAAACGTGAGCAGAATGAAATTGTGTGTAAACTGTTCGCAAAGGGAAATTTACGGGTATTTCAGCATTCATCAGTATGTTAGCTCCAATCTTTTCGTGGGTATGAACAAAATCTACACCTGCTTCTAAATGCTTGTGTAAATATGGAATGCACATTAATATTGCTTGTAATTAATAGAAATTACAATTTTGATTTACATTGTGCTCTCTTATGTGCACAATACGCAGATGTCTTTAAAGTTAAATATGACAAAAGATGAGAAATATAACACATTAACCTAAATGAGTTGGCAATTAGCAGATGTAAGCTTCAGATAAGGTTTCTCAAAAACGTGAATGAGTTATTTATTTAAATCGACTTAATACATGTGTTTTCTACATTTCTGGCATCCCCTCCCCCCTTGAATCAATCAAATTTCTCCACAAATGTATTTTCTGTTTGAGTGGTAAGACTATGAGACCCATGTTACTGACCAAACACTAAGTTTTCAGTGATGGCTGTCAGATTGTACAGTGAACACTTACATAACAAGTACATCACCATACCCTCTGAGTTTGCTGTTGACTGTTCCAGTGGAGGAATGTCACTGTCTCCCCTGACAGAGAGGTCTTTCCGATGATGTAAGCAACACACTCATCTGAAGCAGACAGCTGTGACTTAGAGGAGCCTCCTCCTGTTGCTGTTGTGAATTTTTTGTGTACTTGTGTGGTTTTTTGCATCAAGTTTCGTGTCAAACCATTTTCATTTCACTTCTTGGATGGTTCTTACAACAGAGGACATGGAGTTGTCCCTGTCACACCACTACTAAAAGAGGAAAATAAATGTTTTAATCAACTCTACTTTACCCAAAACAACTTTAATCTCGGTGTTGGGAAAGTTTTTCTTTCTCTCTTTCTTTCTTTGCTCTAAATTCACAGGTTAACAGGATGCACCTATCCATAGTAATTATCACCTCCTTATATGGTGGTCACTGGCTATTCACGGGTGGGGATGTATGCTAATTGATGACTAGCAGGAGCGCACTGTCAATTTACCATTGATTTGCATTCATGAACATACACACAAGCTTACAATCAAATCCAAGTTTCCTGCGGGGTTCATGAATTCGGTGAAGGTTTTTTGCACCAAGGTTTTTTATGTGCAAATCCACTCAGATTTACTATCATTTTTTTAATAAAACCCATTGATTCTAACATGGTACACATACTGTATAATGGAGTGATGATTACACTGCCTCCCACACAATATGTGAATCAATTAACTGTCTTAAAAAACACACCTCATCAGGTGGTAATCCCTGCAGTCACAGTATTTACAGAGCATTTTCTCGCCATGGAAGGATCAAAGGAACGGACGGTGGAGGTGAGAACTGTGGCTTCTCCCACATAAAGATACAGGTGGGCATAGTGTAAAGAATGAGTGTCATATGGGTGAAGGATGCCTATAGGCCATGCTGAGTGCCTTAACTTACAGCTGCAGGCCTCTGATCAAACAACATGCTCTGTGCTTACCACATTTTACCAAGGGCCAGGCTGTTTCTCTAAGACCTACGTTAAAGGAAACATGTAGCAGTCTGTGCAAACTGCCAAAACTCATCAGCAAGAGGAGTGCACCTCTTTTAAAGCTCTTTGTGTAATATTAACTTGACAATAGGGTTTTTCTTATGTATTTATTTAAGTTGTATAATGAAAAACACAGACCAGAATAGTTACGTTAAGTGCAATTGAAAATGTATATTGCATACTATGTAATTTATTCATTTGTTCAATTCAAAGTGAAATGTATCATATACAATTTAAGATTTATTCTGATTCCATTTAATTTTTAGCATCCTGGGTTTCAGTATATACTGACATTGTGATTGTTGTGTCTTTGTGTGTGGATGTCAGACTTATTTACAGTGGCACTTTTTGTGTAGTGTTTGTTCATTGGTATACATTTTTTGTGGATAATTATTTGCATATATTTCTATGAATACATTTCTATGCGAAATGTATTATGTAAAGGTAAACATGGAGGGAACATCATAATAAAGAAACATCTTGTTTTTACCATGTTTTCTGTTGGACGTTTTCCCAATACTCTCAAATGATTCCTTAATTGTCCACGAGATGGCGCTGTTGTCTTCCACTGAGATTACAGAATGTCTTTTCTCTTAAAACCCAGCAAACTTTCAGTTGTCTGATGAAATCAGCTCTTTATTTTTCATCTTTAACTTAGCCATAGGCCTACACACACACACACACACACACACACACACACACACACACACTCACACACAGAGTACTGGAAATACCGAAATGTATTTTGTTGTGGAATATATATAATATAAATTTTTAGTTGTAATTTACTCCTTTTAAATAAGAAATCACCCATACAAACCAACAGCATAACTCAGAAATTCTTTGAAATGTATTAATTCTACTGGCATTATTACAGGAACCATTTTTTGTCATCTAATGAACAAGGCAGCTGTTAGGCCTCTGACGTTAACACATTTGCATTTGCAAATGCCTGCACTCACATTCAACAAAAACCCAAACCATACTAACCCTTTGAACTCTGCAACAGAAATGGTCCAAATGTAACATAGCGCAATGATGTCATTACGAACGTAATGACATGATGGCATGGAAGTCAGAAGCCTTCGCTTTCTCCTGCAGTAAGAATGAATGTTCTAACTTTTATGGTTTTTATTTTAGATCAAACAACACAGGAAACAATGATGATGATGAATGATCTCATGATGGGGAAATTCACAAGAAAAGTCTGGCATAATTATGGCAAAACACTATTTGTGCACTGGACATCAGGAAAGGTAATATAAGATCAAGACATGAGGATGGGGAAGACAAGCTTTAGCTCTCTGTTACGAAAAGAATGCATTCTCTAACTATTATGTTTCTTATTTAGATATATTGAAACAAGATCATGCAAACAACAATCTCCTGCTACCATCCGCTGGGAGTCTGTTTTTAAAGGGTTAGGCTCAATGCGATCTTTTAACAGTATCTGGTGGCAAACAGTGAGGAACAAGAAGAAATATGAGAAGGATCAGCACAAAAAAACAATTGAAAGTCCTTTGCTTAAAAATAGCTTTATTCTTTATGCTTTCAAACTAGTGCAAATACTTGCAAACTGAAAACAGACAACCCTATAAGCAGACCCTCTCATATAAACACAGTAAAGCTTGAAAGCTTTTATATTCATGTTCAGAGAAATGGCCCTGGATACAGTAGGTCAACCACTTTGGTTTTTACCTAGTCTTGTTTTGGTTGTCCTCCAGTGGTCCCTCCACTCAGTCCGGTGGTTTTGCAGTCAGATGCTACCATAAGCCTATTAATGTGCCAACAGGCAAGGAGGCAAGTTATCCATACCAGTTTCCCTACATCCATTCATCCATATTCATTATTCAAGAATACAAAACCACTCAGTCAAATCTCAGCTCATATAAAGATTATCTTTGTCATCCTTATGCTGCTCGCCAGATAAAAGATTCATTCCCCTTTTTCAAAAACAATGCTTAGAGGACGATACTGCTTAATTTCTTAACCAGCGAGACTGAGGAACAAACAGAAAAAAAGAAGGTTATGGAAATTTGAGGAATTTGAAAATACATCCCCTCAGGATTAACTGTGCCCCTACAGCCTACCAACTAGAGCATCAGGATTAAACTGCAAACCAGAGACACTAAAAGCTACACTGTGTATTTCAGCATTCAACATTTTACAGCTGTAACCTATAGCGGTCACTGTCTCATGACCAACTTTACACACATACTTCATTTACCCACCTGGCAAAGGCATAAGTAAGCCTTCCAAAGAAGAAAGGTACGAGGGGACACCCTTAATTAATACCACAAAAGCACATCGTTTACTGAACAGTTATGATGGATAAAATGACGCTGCTGTCTTTCAAACACTAGAACAAGCTTATTGATTAATAGGGGTGAAGGATCTGACACTGGGTTTTTATTACTAAGTCTCTGAGATGTCCCTCTACCGGTCAGAGGCAGATAAGTGAGTCTGTCCTCTAAATGTTTTGCTCTCCATCTGTTTCAGTGAAATGGGAGATCTACTCAGGCTTCGACCCAAAGCAGTGTAATGCCAACAAAAACTTCCACACAGTCAAAGGGTCACTGCCATCCAAAGTCCTGGCCCACCATCTGATAGAAGCGCTGGTTATGTGACTTGTAGAAATCCCTCAGTCTCTGCATCACCTCAGGGTCGATGGAGACATGCGTTCTCCCTTTTGTCTTCCCCAGGCAGTGGGGTTTACTGCTGCCCTCTGGCTTCTTCAGGCAGGGGAAGCCTTTTGTTTTGTTGAAGTAAAAGTGCTTGTCTGTGATAATCCTCTGGAGCCCCAGAAAGTCCTGGACTTTACCAAGTTCTCTGGCCGGGTCGGATATGAGCCTCTCCCCACTGACCAGATGGATCTGTGTCCTGGGGAACCATGCCAGCCAGCGCTCCAGGTGCTGGGCATACAGGCCGATCCACAGCGGGCTCCACAGAGAATCGATGTGACCTAGAGACAAGCATAAGACAAACTAAAGCTCTTTATGCCAAATCTTCACAACAGCCACCATCATCTCAAACCCTTAACCAACTTTTACATTTGGCTATTAGCCCAGTGCAAGATTTTTCTGTGGGTACCACCCCCGAAACAAAATGGAGTCAACTCTAACACTTTACAATGTATCTTTACTCAGTGCCGACCGTGGCATAGGCAGTACAGGCAGCTAAGGGCGTCATCAATAGGGGGTGCCACAGATGTGGGCAGAAAAACAAATCAAACGTTTATCCTTAAAAAAAAAAAAATTACTAATACTATTAATACTATTACTATTTTTTAAATATTACATAGGGCCACAACAAAATAACTACATAGCAAAGCCTACTAAATAATATAGAGGCCTTTCAGCGCTTGTATTAGTCAAGATGCTAAAAGTGAAATTTTGAATTACTTGAAAGAAAATTGATGAATCCTTCACTTTTATTACTGCTAAAACCTATTCATCGAATTGGTTATGATCCCAGCTGGCACCAGACATCAATATGACATCAGGAAGATGTTGGAACTCTTATGCTGGACAGACCTTAACTTTTGTTTGGAGTGAAAATTGGGTTGACAATATTCAGCCTTATTAGAATATCATGTCGTGGACTTCTGGTTCACCCATGCCTGGGTAAAGACATGTGTTGTGTTGCTCCTGCAGTCAAACTTTAGAAAACTTGTCTGAAACAAAATATCCCAGCCTATTACTAATGTAGGAACTGAGATAACTTCTTATATAACCATCCATCGCTGCTACATCTGATAACACGGTGAAATACGACCATGCTGAGGGGATCTCGTAAAACTAATGAGGCGGGCCTTGCTGCCTCGGACTGTCCAGAGGACGAGCCCTCAGGCGGAGACGCCCAAGACCCGGGAAACATCATGGTGCTAGAGGCGATTGCTTCCCTCCACACCGAACTACGCTCATTCAAGACGGAGACTGTGGGCATAATTGACACAAGGATTGACCAGCTCTCGACCACCATCAGGGGTGAATTAACAGCTTTTAAAAGTGAAACCAACACGGCAATTTCAGCGGTTAAAGCTGCCACTACCGAGCATGCTACTAACAAGCTCTCGGACTTGGAGCGAAGTGCGTCTAGTGCGGCTGATATAATCACGAAGTTGGAGCAGGAAGTTGGGCACTTAAACAGAGTTGTGGATTAACGAGTTGTGTCAACTCGACAAATTCACCGATCTTGAGGGGCGCAGCAGGAGAGATAACTTGCGGATCTTGTACGTAAAAGAGGGAGCCGAAGCGGGTAAGAAACCCAGAGACTTTGTTGCACAACTCCTGAAAGACGCATTGTCCCTGGGGGAGCTCCCGCTTATCGACAGGTGCCACAGAGCGCTTCGGACCCATCCCGGCGACAACGAACTGCCTCGCCCCTTCATTCTCAAAATGCACTACACTCACCAACTGGAAGAAATACTATGGAAGGCAGCTGAGATGCAGCGGATCACTTTCAACTGACAGAGGATCTGGGATCCCCCGGCGGTTGTGAAGCGGCACGCCCTGTTCAAGAGAGCAAGAGAGCTGCTCAAAGACAAACCGGGAGTGTGGTTTGGTATGGTATGGTACCCTGCAAAACTACGGGTCACTGTCAACGGCAAGGAACACTTTTTTACTGACCCAGAGAGAGCGACGGAGTTTGCAGAGCAGCACTTCGGAGCAGTTTCCACTGGTTGATACTTGGTATGTGAATCATTTGGATATATGACATGGATAAACTGATAATAATACCTATCAGATGTAAACGATTTATTCCTGTCTCTCCTGAAGATCTGCACACTTACCAGCATTAACTATACATAGAAAATGCTTGTCGAGTTCACAAGAAATTATTTTTGCTCTCTCCTACTGCGGCTGCAGTATCTGTTGACATCTCAATCCAGACATCTGGTAATCCTAAATAATCCAGTGTTCCACACTGTAAAACTGCTTACTATACCTACTACCTGATGGAAATATAAGGTCCACTTTGTTTTCTACCCACTTCTTATTTTATTAATTCATTGATTTATTTTACCCCCCCCCCCCCCATTTATCTATTCATTTAACTTTATTAAAGGTTATTATATTACTTCATTCTCTTGCTAAACTAGCTCACATATTTTGATTCTCATTACCTAAATTGACCAACTCGATCAATATTTTACCTACTTGAAGGTTACACTGTGTCAATTTTATTTTATTTTATTTATTTTTTATTTCATCTCCTTTACTCTCAAACTCTTTGGTGTATTTTTAAAATATGGACCAAATCAGTAAGTATAAGATACTTTTTTGTGTCATCCTGTGTTGCGGTGGGCTTATCTATTTTGTTTCACAAAATTTCAATTGACTGTGGAGTTACTCTTTGTAGTATACTTACTTGAAGGCTGACAGGTCAACATATAGACTATAGAGAGGTTCCTTACACTTTTATATTACTGACGCTACATCTATACTATTTGTAAGTTTTATCAATATTATTATTATTGTTATTTGTTTTTGTTTTTTCTACTGTTCTATTGTTCTTTAGCCTCCCTTATGGAGTTGTGCCGTGCGTTCCGTTTTAGCACCGGCCAGACATTTTGGGTCTTTACTTTTGTGTTGGGAGGGTGGGTACTCTGCTCTAAGATAAATAATTATTATGTTGCAATGGAAACTCAAACTCTGCCAGGCCTTTTTTTTTTCTATGCAGGACAGTGGTGTAGGCCATGGTAGTGGATAAGGAGGCCTAACTAGCACCACCTGGAACGTGAAAGGGCTGAGCCACCCAATTTAAGAGGGGTAAAGTGCTAGCCCATTTGAAATCTTTGTCCTCAGACATCATGTTTCTTCAGGAAACCCACCTAAAAACAACTCCCAAGGTAGGCTAAGGAGTAGGTGGATTGGACAAACTTACCACTCACCACTAGCTCTGCCAAAGCTAGAGGTGTAGCTATTTTAATATTTAATATTATTAATATTTCAAAGGTGTCCCATTTAGACACCAATCAACCAAAGTAGATGCGGAGGGTCGTTACCTCATTGTTACTGGGGAAATCCACTCAATCCCTATAACCTTGGTTAATGTTTATGGTCCTAATTTTGATAATCCGGCCTTTTTCAGGAAAGTGTTCTCATTATTAACAGACATTTCGCAAACTAACCTTATTATCGGAGGAGACTTAAACTGTGCCCTTGACCCTTATACGGACAGCTCCTCTAAGAAACGGGCCTCTCACTCCAACACTAGAGACTTCTTAAAGGCATACATCAACAACTCTAATCTTTCTGATGTGTGGAGATTTTTCCATCCCACAGCACGTGATTATTCCTTTCATTCGCATGTACATGATGTTTATACTCGTACTGATTATTTTTTAGTAGACTCCATACTATTGCCTCACATTCACAATCCGAGATATTGAGATATACTGATCTCCGACCACAGTCCTCTTACATTTTCACTTAATTTGAACAATTTGCACTCCTCTTGGCCATTATGGAGAATGGACCCTCAACTTGTTAATGACCCCAAGTTTTGTGAATATTTGCACGAGCAAATGAAAATATTTTTTGAATCTAATGATACCCCCGAAACCTCCCCATGTTTACTGTGGGAGACTCTAAAAGCTTTTCTCAGGGGTTGTATAATCTCTTACCAAGGCCGCAGAAACAAGCTAAATAAAGCTAGGCTTCTAGAGTTAGAAGACCAAATTCATCAGTTAGACAAAGAAAATGCACGCCACCCCTCATTGGATAAATATAAACAGATTTTGCAGCTGAGGCTCCAGTATAACCAGATTGCTTCGTCAAAGATTTCAAAATCATTCCTTTACTTAAAACAGAAACATTTCGAATTTGGGGAGAAACCGCAAAGATTGCTCGCCAGACAATTACGTAAACTAGAAAATGATCGCACAATTCATAAAGTTAAATCCAAAGATGGAGATTGTCTCACTTCAGTGAAAGATATCAACAATCACTTTAAAGAATTCTATGAAACTCTCTATTCCTCCAAAACAAATGCAGGATCCCATAGTACAGAAACCTTTTTTGAAAATATCAACCTCCCCTCTCTTACTCAAGAGGATCACACTTTCTTAAATAAAGACATTACCGTGGAAGAGCTAAAAGACACAATTAAAACTTTAAAAGGAGGCAAAACCCCAGGACCTGACGGTCTTTCTTGTGAGCTGTACAAAACATTTACGGACATGCTTACACCTTATATGCTTAAAATGTACACTCAAGCCCTCGAAAATGGGTCTCTGCCTCAAACGCTTAGTGAGGCTGTCATAAAACTCATTCCAAAAAAGGGTAAGGACCCAGAGGAGGTTGCAACATACAGACCTATTTCTTTACTCAATGTGGATCAGAAAATATTAGCTAAAGTTTTAGCAAACAGACTCAACTGATATATGAGTGTGTTGGTTCACTCAGCCCAGACCGGGTTTGTCCCTGGCAGAAACTCAGACGCCTTTTTAATATAATGTACCATACTAAGTCCAGTAGCAGCGACCTTGTAATCGTCTCTCTCGACGCCGAGAAGGCGTTTGACCAGGTAGAGTGGTCTTATTTATTTGCTGTGCTGGACAAATTTAATTTAGGAGACAAATTTATCGCCTGGATCAAACTCCTGTATAAAAATCCCAGGGCCCAAATTTTATCTAACAGAATGCTATCCTCCCACTTCAGCCTGTTTAGGGGCACGAGACAGGGGTGTCCTCTTTCACCCCTCCTGTTCGCGCTGGCCATCGAGCCCCTCGCGGTGTCTATTCGCACTGATCCAAATATCTTTGGCTCCAATGTTACAGACACACCTGATAAGATTTCCCTATATGCAGATGACGTTCTCCTGTTTATTACTAAGCCTCAATTAAGTCTTCCCACTGTTTTGGATAAAATTAACTTGTTTGGATCCTTCTCTGGTTACAGGATTAACTGGACCAGGAGTGAGTTAATGCCTGTTGGCCTGAAGGATTTATCCCTGATA